GCAACGTTTAGGGCACCCAGACTAAAGTCAATACTTTATAGTCGCTTGCTTCATTGTTCTCGTATTAACTAAGCAAAAGGAAAACATTTGTTTAGAAGATTTTGGATGCGGATTTGCTAACCAAACGAGTTTCCAGGCAGCCAATTCTACATAGATGGAATCGAAAGATTAACGCAGACGAAAGCCATCAAAATGGGAAAACCAGGTGGCATTTTGGGGGAGTTGATTGTATCCAAGTTCAATCTACCAACAGGAAGTCGCGTCTTAATGGTTGGCGATAAGTGCGTATACTCGTATTTTCAACTTTCGATCATCGTCATACTTCAACTCCCGAATTTTGTTTCAGTATTCACTCAGACATTCAGTTCGGAATTAACTCTGGTTTTAAGACCCTTTTGGTTCTGTCGGGAGTTACTAAACAGGAGCACGTGGATCAATGGGATGCTGCCGAAGAGCTGAAACCCGACTTTGTCGGCAGAAGTATAGCAGATTTGCATGAGAAGATTCGAAATATGTAATTGCGGAAAGCTTCAGTGGAATTTTTGATCAAATAAATAGTCATGGTATTATTATAAAAAAGACTGATTGGGACGAAACAGTTCATTTTCTAAGCTGAAACCCCAGCAGGTTTAAAAAATATATACATAAAAAATAAGCATTTTTTTATGATCTAACTCATATTGATTTTTCCACGTCCTCATTTCCTTCCGAAATAACTACAAAATTACAAATAGGGGGTACAGGGAAAAACGCTAATTTTTACATGGACATATTACAGAAAAAAAACGAGACGCAAAACATGAAATTTTGGAAGAATCTTGCACCTCAGTGTTTAATATTGAAATTTCGCTCTCTGGGTCAAAACTAGTCGAATTTCCTCACTCATGTTGTTATGAATCGAATTTCCAGTTCTCCATCCAACAATGCCAAAACGAATTCTGTGGCTCAAATGGGGCTTGAGAAACTTCTAGGAAAAAAGCAGCGTCATGTTTGAATTAATTTTCTGAAATCGCGACTCTTGAAAAAACTGCTAACATTTCCTTATCGATGGTTCACTTTCTAAAAAGGCGATTTAGTTCTCTTTAGAATGATGTAAAAATGAGCGTTGTTGCTCGTTTTGCTTCCGAGAAATGAGCAAAAACGGGAAAGAAAACATGAAATCTTTGAACAAAAAATTCGATTTTTATTGGATGGATGTTTCCCGCACTTTTGTATAATAGTGAATTATTATTAATTATAATTGGTTGAATTGCAATTTCCCGAAGAAATGAATTGGTAGAGATCACCATCGGATCTCATTTCGCTATACTTTTCCTTTTGGGGAGATTGCAAGAAAATGCATGGAAAAATGTATATAAACAAACGTTTACGCGAATAATTCCGAGTAGTTTCGGTAAAGTTTATCTGTTTCTACCTCCATTTTAGTGATTAGTAAGACCAAAGGAAGCTTTTTATTTCGTTTCACCACTGGCCCAAATTTCCAAAATGCGCATTCAAATTACCACCTAAAGATCATTAATAAAGCATTATGAATATTGGTAAAATCGGTACGTACTTCAGCTCTTTATCTCAAGTACTTTTTCAAGTACATATAGACAAAATGCATGGAAAAATCAGCATCATATATGTTTTATCAATTTTTCGCTATACCAATGGTCTGAGTTGAGTTGAGAATTTTGTATCCTCTAGATATCTGAGCTGTGGGTCGACTGGATGATAATTATCATTATGCAATCTGCTTGTTTAACGCATTTAAATATGATAGCATAAATTCGGCGTTATCGCCGCAAGTGCGCAAATTATCAATTCCGAGCTTCATATATCTAATTGTTGATTTTGAAAAAGATTTTTTGCATTTTGCAGCCATTATCAATATAGAACATCATGGCTAAACTACGTCGCCTCAACGAACTGTCGGAGACGGAAGTGCAAAGTGAGATTGCATCAACTGATGCCGTTCTGTTTGATGTGGATGGTAAGTGTGGTTTTTCCAGTTGGTCATAAAAATCTCTTATTGGATACAAACCATCGATGCAGGAGTTTTGCTGTCCGATAAAGCGGTGCTTCCTGGAGCCGAAGCTACAGTGCAAAAGTTGAGGGCTTTGGGCAAACAGATTGGATTTGTCACTAACAACACCTTGTACACAGTGGAACAAATGCAGGCCAATTTGGCTCAATTTGGTGCACAATTTGACGATATAATAAACCCGACGGTCTCCTTGTTGGAATACCTGCGAAAAATCGACTTCCAAAAGGACATTTATATAATTTCCACACCGGAACCTAAACAACTAATCCGGGCAGCTGGATACAATGTGTTAGATTTCAAGGTAAAACTCTCAAGGCATAAATTGAGTCCATATCGGCTTAGTTTTTCTTTTAATCAGGATGTCCTACCTGAAAAAATTGAGCCTTCTTTGGGAGCAATTTACGAAGCCCAGGAACTGTCTTTGCAGAGATGCAAAAATGTTGGTCTGGTGTATTTGGATTATGACATGAATTGCGGATATGGAGACATACAATGCGCCATAAATATTATTAAGCGCATTGACGGCGTCCAAGTATTG